CCGCTATTATCGATTCTCCGGCGCCTCTGTTTCTATCCATTGGAAAATTTTTACCATTAAGATATTCCCAAGGGTTTCAACAAAGTTCTCCCAAGATCTTGGCCACCCCATTTCTTCATTTCAGTGGATTATGTATTTTTATATGAAAATAAAACTATAAGGCAAGTCTAAATCCCTACATTTTGCCATTTTGGAGATATTTTGCAGGATAAATTTCATTAAATGCAACTTATGATATATTGGCAGGGATAAAAACACAGCTGAATATATTGGACATTTATCAGGCATACGAATACAAATATACGTAGATTCCACTGGTATTTCAAAGGATCATTGATTTCATAAAAAAATAATCTTTAGTGCAGACAATTAGAATTAAAACATAATCAAAATATTTCAACATGTCATATATCCTGAGGCCACAAATTGTAAACCACACCGACTTTACTAAAAAGTTTAAAACATGATGTCCTAAAATGTTGACTGTGGGAATAAAAGCGATTTTCCCTGCTTGAAGTAATTGAAGCGATCAAAGAAAAATATGATACGCTTCGGTGACAAGCATGTAAACAAAATCCAAAACTTGGCTAGGCCGTGGGAAGTGCCTTGTTTCCACTTTAAATATGCTGTGTTTACGATTATAAATGATTGCAATTACGACCCTAACTAAAATAACTTAAACTTTGAAGAGACAACATCTCGCAATTTGTTGCAAATCACTCAGCTCCGAGCACTAATAGATATAAACAAAGGTCCGAAGACCAGAATGTCCCGTCGACCAGGCAACATCAAAATATTCCAGAGGCTTGCTAAAAACAATCGAATCACTTAATATTCACAATAGATAATATCAAAATATAAAAAGTGCAATCCCTGGACTACGTATATTTGTTACATTTGCAGACAAGAAGATTAACAAAACAGTGGGCGATTATAATACGAATGAAAATGGCGATTTGGTTTATATGTTGTTGACAGTAAGTAAAACTAGTAATTATAGGCAATATCTAGTCCGATTACAGTAGATTTAGCCTCAGTAGCTGCATACTTACCTTATCTATACTGGGGATGAAATTTAATAACATCGGATAGCTATAAATGACAACTACTAGATCACTTCTCCAATATTTGCAAAATGAAAACAATCTTCCTTTGAAATCATCAACACGGAAGCCCGCCTAAACGAAACATAATTTCGCGCCCGCGAGTGCCGTCCGCTGGCATCGCCAAGCTGTGATGACGCGTCAGTCAGAATTTCGGAGATTTATAATAATTTCTATGATTTTCTCCAAGGGAAATAAGTTTCGTCATAAGCAGGGGCGCCGGAAGGACTGAAAAGCGGCGGGGGCAGAATAATGAAAAGGGCACTCGATCGGGTGCGAGACCTCGTGGAGTGTCCAGGGGCATCTCCCCCGGGAAATTTTATTTCTAGAGTCTCTGAAATGCCATTTCATGCGTTTTGGGCTGAGATTTGACATAATTTTGAGAATTAATAAACGTCACGTAAAATACAAAAAACAGTGAAAGTTTTAAGTATATGGGTGGAATATTTTGGTAGCTGATGAAGTCTCACAGTTTGCAGCCAAATACTTCTATACATTGTACACTAGATCAGATTTTTAATAGATTTTTAATAGATTATGAATAAATTGAGTAGATTATAACATATGTAGGTCACGAACATTGTGTAAGGCAAAACAGAAAGAGCTCAAAATATTGTTACAATAGCAAGCTAACGCAAATACAGTTCATGCATGCAAATATACTCGCACCGGTAGAGTAAACTAAATTGATATATAATAACTAATAAGATCAAGGAATAATAAACCGATTGTATTAAACACTGCATGTACTAGTCTATAAAGAAACCGATAACTCTAATATGTAATCCTCGCTTCTTTGGCACTTTGCTTGCGTATGCCGATGTATATCCCAACGAAAAAAAACTGAGTCAACTAACTATCACGGTTCAGTGCTTCTTAATTAATCAGTTATTGTAGATGCAAAGAAGTTTCTGTGGTTAATTAAACACACTAAAAACTGAACTTAACGAGGTTGCGTATCTTGGATGGAAAATCACAAGAAGCTGGAAACATGGGCTTAGCCAGAGGCCCGTCCACCCGTCATTTGGACGGGTACTTCATGTGAACCTGGCAGATGGTAAAACTCTAGTATTTTGTCCGTAGTAATTAGTACAATACTTAAATTTTGCTATAACATCACATTAAACAGTCACTGCACATACATGCAAGCTACTGATTTCCTTCAGTGTATTTGAAATATATATATATATTATATATATATATATATATATATATATATATATATATATATATATATATATATATATATATATATATATATATATATATATATTTTAAGCTGATTTTATGAATAACTTTGGCGGTATGTTAGTGAGGTACTCCGAACCAAGCCGCGGTTTGCTCTTCAGTTTTGAGTGCAGTTTTACACGTGTTCTTTTGACTGCTAAGAACTACGTTTTTAGAAGATAAAGATTAAAGATCTGATTTCAAAATTATTCCAAGAGAAACTTTTTTGGGGGGGGGGCGGGGGAGGGGGGCAGACGGCAGACCTGTCGAGCATTTGTGGACGGATACATTGCTAGTCCTGGCTATGTTCGTAGCTGAAATGCTCTAAAAACCATCTAGAACAGAGGAAGACTTATCGCGAATGCGTTATTGTAGTGCCAGAGCATGCATGATTGCGATACTGATCGACTACAGAAATTTAGGTGTGTCAAGAAACTAGAAAAATGTAGAAGGCTTATATAAACTAACAAGACGATCAACGTAGCCTGCGCAGCGTAATGCGTAAATAAACAATGAAATGAACGTGTTCGTAATATATACTTATACATATGACGGCAAGTCAACAATAATACTGAGTATTAGTTAATGCCTTAATCCTTTTGTTGTCCCAAAAAGGGGCAACCAGTTGCCCCCGCAGTGCCCCCGCACTGTTAGGGCAGCGGGGGACACTGCCTCCGTGACTCCGTGACTCCGGCGCCCCAGGTCATAAGCAACATTTAAACGTATACTGTACTGAATATTTTGCACTCGCCAAGTCACTAGCGAGTGAACTCGCACATGCACAAAAGTATAGAATCTGGCATTATATAGTCATTAATCAGAGCTCTATTTACGATTCACGAAGCATGCACACATGACGACGCGGCGTTTACTCCGGCAGCAGATAGCTATATCATATATGTATATATACAATAACACAGACAGGTTGTTCTCATTTCAGCTGCTCCGGCGATATGTTACTGGCACGATTGGACACTTTCCGAATTCGATGCATGCCTGACAGGTCCCGACAATTAAAAGTGAAAACTGCTCCACTGCTTGTTAATCTTGTTTATAATTAATAGATTACATCGACAGCAGCTCATTTTCAAGCTGCCTGTTCCGTGGTGCGCACTCAAGCAAATTCTAGAAGTGTGTACATACTTGGAACTTATTTCTTCTTCAAACTTACTTATGGTTTGGAAACACTAATATGCCCGCTGTTTTCCAGTCGTTCCATTACTCGTATATAACCACCCGATCAACTTCGCTATTAAACGCAGCAAAATATTTCATCCAACTCAAGCCGACAATGTAAAATGACCACCTACCAGAAATCCTTTCTTGTTAGAACTTGTCGAATATGGAATTCACGTGTAGACAACCTTACTACATCCAATATAATACTAAAACTATTATTACATCGTTAAACATGAATTATTCCCCTGAAAAGTTGAAAACCCTCAAACCTTTAGAATTATCTGTTTAATAAAGTGTAGGGCCTATAACTCTGTTCGTAGTCCAGTCCGCGGAATATTGGTTTGGTTGTGGAGGCTTTAATATTGGGATATATGCTTCCTCAGTTGAAAAGTTGAAATGCTGTGATTTCAGACAATTGTACTGAGCTATATATGCAGACTGTACGGGTAAGAAATCACAAAGACCTTTAACGAGAAGAGAATCTGAGATTGATCAATCTTTCGATCATTTTATGGACATCATTTTGTGAAAAGAACGAAAAAGAATATATAAAGAAATAATTTTATATCACATTATTGGCCATTAATTATTGCAAATTACGTGATGCTTGGCCTTGGGTATCAGTTTGGAGAATACACACATGATGCACAGAATGAGAGGTGCAACCACAAACGTATCACATATAAAAAAAAAGGAGCCGGGAAAAATTGACATGCATGCATGATCCGTTGCACTGAAAACAAATAATCATAAACACCAAATTAAAAGCATTCGCACAGTTTTGCAAATCAGCTCGCAATTTAATTGAATTTAATACAGCATATATTCACGCTATTGATAGCACAAATATTTTTAAATTTTGTGTAGGTATAAAGTAATTAGGATAAGGAGGATAAATAAAGGTGTGTCTCACTGAAATTTATTAAATTAGCTATATATATTAAATGCTATAATTTACCGTTTTTACGTACTATGTTTATAATTAAGATATGCTATAAGAATAACACGGTTGTGAATGTCTTCGAACTTTTCTCACTCTAGATAAGGAAAAAGAGCAAAGTGAAATCAAAATAAGCCATTTTCGAATATTACGCTCGATCTAGTTTTCACTAAGAGCAATAACGCCAAGTCGAGGCTCCGTGCTATATCAATTAAGTGGAATTATAGAAACTCGTTCTCAGGTTATTGCATGTGCTGGAACAATTAAGGCCCAGAGAACATTGGGGACCGGAAATTACTGTACGGAGGAGAGATTCAGGCTATTTCCTTTTGCTGAAAAGACCTCTGGTTCCATAGCCAAGCTATATGATTCCGTCCGTCATTAGCGGTAAAAGTATCAACTTGGCAGCGCGTGTCTTTATTTCGGAATTTAGCTTCGCTAACTAGGGCAGGGTCACCACAATTACAGTATATGCCAATTACTGTGGGCCCTTTTACCTAACCCACCCTTTTTTAAACGTTCCCTGTGGGAGGAAACCGGAGTACCTGGAGAAAACCCACGATTTTCGGCAGAGCGTTGCCGGACTTTTACTCTTTTCACATGAGGACTGGGTTCGAGTCGCATTGAGAAAGTTCTCACTGAGGCTTGAACCTGCGGCCTTAGAGGTGAAAGGCAAATGTTCCCGAAACTGAGAATGTCAGTGGATATATAATGCAAAGAGTTATAATCTGTGAGGACCAAAAACTGTAACCCTACCCGCACCGAGCAAGTATGTAGTTTCTGCACTTTTTCATGACCAAAGCAAAAATGACTTACATACTCAAGATACTATAAAAATGGCAAAACCTACCACAGTTAAGTTCACTTATGTCTTGGGTTTCCCAATCAAGCTGGTCTCCGGTATTGACATCAACACACCAGCACCAACCAGTAGACTGATTGCACTGCATTGCTCGGTAGGTACCATCAGGATTACATGCTGGGTAAAAAACACCAACACTACCAGATGGCATATCATTAGCTTCCTGAAGTTCAAGCTCACATGCACTCATTTCTATAAAAAAATTAAATAAATTTACCAATTATATACGTACGTTTTACTGCACATGAATTTCACAGACTTTAAAACTCTCGTCTTTTCTTGGTTTTCCTGCTCAAATGTTGAGTTTTATTCAGAAACTGTTTCGCCATTCACGGGGATGAAAGCGGAATCGTTGTGGCTGATTATTGAATCATAGCGGATCGAATATTTGAATGATAACAAGGACATTGATATACTGGTTGAAAATGTGTACTACATCTGATTGCAAGTTCGAGGGGTTTAATACTCCAATGACTTAAAATCAAATTCTGGCGCCACCAAAGTTTAATTTGAAGTGAATACGGACTGATCACTTGGCACTTGCTTAACTTACTTACACAAATCGATCTAAATTATAGCTCATATTAATACACACAGTCCAAATCCAGTCATATATTGATATGCGTATAAACTGTTTTACAATATGCAGACTTTATTTTACATCTTGTTGTATAATGATCTGATCATCAAACCAGTTAACGCGGACTGTCACGAGGAATGTCACACATTTTGATCAGGGAAAATTGTATTCTTTGGTGGTGAGAATCCAAAATTGGTTCGCATGCATGCAGGGTGCAATAACGTTCATGTAGTGGGATTGTAATTAAGCCACATTTTACGAAGCATGCACGGGACGTGAATGAGAAAAATCTACGGAAAACCATCACGGACTTCCTCATGCAGGACTCTCGTATAATGGAACTGGAAAGGTCTAGGAGCTACCAACCGGGAACTATATACTATTAGCTATATACTCACCACGTTTGCGCTTCGTGAATGAACAGATCAAGGAGTCTGCTCTTTTTGCAGGCATGTCATCACTGACTCGTTTACCATTGCCATCAACACACCAACAATATTCAGAACCACATTGCAGCGGTTTGTACTTGCCCGAAGTTGTACATTGAGGAAGATATTGACGAACACTTCGAGTGCTTCTTCTGGCCAAAAATACTTCACGGCGTTGCTTCTTACAACTAGAGTCGGCTTTTACTACACAAGAAAAAAATCATTATGCCTTTCTCAGTTACTTGAAAAGTTTACGCCGCTGTTAGCTAAAATTCAAGCCATTGGATGATGCCTGCGGAGGAGGCTAGGCATCGTTGGCTATCAGTAAAAATGTCAGTTACAATTTCCCTTTTCACGGATTGTCAGTTAAGCTATGGTGTCCCAAAAAAACGAAAACCATTGAAATAAAGTATTGTTAAAATTTGAATGCCTAGCACTAAGCTAAACGTAAAGATGCGTAAAATATTGACAAGGGTGCATATATTAAATATTTACTTATTAAGAAATTAAAATATCTTTGTAAAGCGCACGATTTTCTGCTCTTGGGAATTTAGAGCAGCTTCCCAAACGGTTTCTTTATCGGCATACAATTTACTTATGTCAAGCTTTGATACATGCACGTGTGGGTTCAGCAGAGTGCCGAGGCATTCAAATTCTAACAATACGTTATTTCAATAGTTTTCGTTTTTTTGGGACACCCTGTATTACAACACAGCGTGCAAAATTTGAATATACCTTACCGTACAAAATTAGATATAGCAAATTGTTTTTCAAAAATTGGATTTTTTAATGACCGCAATTGACATGCAATACGCTACAGGTATATTGCACGAACAATTTCATGAGCAACTCTTGAAAGTTCTTTCAGTATTTCATATAGAATAAAGTTTTGTTTTCGCGATTCTTATATAAAGCGCACAACTGAAAAATGAAGCGCGCACTAACCATGCAGAAACGTGAAAAAAACAGAGAACTATTCTCACCAGTTTCATAGAATATTAGAAACAAGAAAATAACTGTTTCAATTCGTCCAACTTTCATCACTTCTATCGTCGTCAGTTTATTATACGGATCTTTGAGTTTCTTCAATCAGTGGCAGTGAAATGATGTGATGCTCCAGTTTTTCTACTTTTATATCGAAATTTCTGCTTGCCCGGCCTGCTGTGGCGGATTAATTTGCCGATTTTAACATTGTTTTTCTCTTTGTGTGAATAATTAATTATTTAGTTGACTACTTAATTGTTCAGTCATGCATGCATGTAATCATTACTACTTAATTAATTGCATGAATTAGGGCGGACATTCCCATATTATGGATTAAGAAAAAAAGCTAATTTTAGAAAGTTTGATATGCACTGTATATATAGCAAACAAGACTATTATATAACTAAAATTATAGAAATAAGTTGTTAAAATTGCAACTCGAATAGCTTAAAGTGATTGGTAATAAAACAAAGTATTACTTCACGTCTAATGTCTAATGATATAGTTTACAAACTGATTCACATGACCTTGAATGCATATGTTCCCCAACGCAAATTAAATTAAACCCATGATTGTAATTACAAATTTTTGCTCTAACGCAGGAAATGTCCCTTCCAGCCAGCTCCAAGCAGGGTTGCTTGATTAGATAATTTCATGTAACGATTCCTCTTGAAGGTCAAGGAGAGATAGTAATTGAAAAGGAAATTAAATTCTATAATGGAGGTATTGCATCAAGCTATGCTTAGATTGCTTTCTCTCTCTATACTTGTGTTCGCACGGAGAACAACTTTATAACAAATTTGTATCTCAATCTGGTAAGCTTGCGCAAATGCACGCAAATGCTATATAAGTCTCCACGCACTATGCTAGTATCTATTGAATAATGATACTAAATATATCATCAAAAAATTAAAACAGCCAGTTTAATAATACATGAACAAACAATTTATGTTTAAAGATCAAATTATACAAACCCCAAGAATTTGGGCCATGTCCACACGTACTGTATACGGGTTCGTTTTCAAAAAGTTTGTTATGCGCTAGAACTACGTACGTATATAGCGAATCGAAATCATTCTCGACCATCCAAAAACGATACGAACGTTGAAATTGCTAATTAAGCATGCGCTAAATTGTGTTAATCATGCATGGTCTGGGATCATTTGTAAAGATTAAAGAAGGGGCGGGAGTAGAGCGATGTCTTTTATCTTGAAAGATAGAGTTAAAACCATTAGCTATGTTGTAGCGCATTTAACATTCACATTAAATTTTATCACGGTAACATTAAATTTTATCGCGGTATTTGCCGATGTATACGTACCGATCAATTCCAAACTTCAACATGCCCCCTTTTTGAAATTTGACTCATCAAATTCTCCACCACCTGTGCAAAAAATGTCTTCAAATGCCCCACTGTAACAAAAATTAAGCGTTCAAATGCACCGCCTTCATATGAAAATTATGAAACAGTAAATCAGACAAAAAGTACAAAATACATGGCGTGTCGTATCTTTACATGCATGCTTTGATTTTCTCGACTTACACATCGTATTTTTTGAAAATGATTTATTTGTCAATTAACATACTAGATCGATCATTTTTGAAGCAATTTAAAACATTCGCAGTGCGTGTTTTATCAGACCTAAGGATACTCGGCTTCGCCTCGTATCTTAGTTTATATCTGATAAAACGCTGCTGCCCATGTTTTAAAAAGTACCGTTAAACCGTGGATGTAAAATAACAATTACGATTGTTATTGAACTCCCGGGGGGGACTCTCATACTCGCATATATTCCTATTTTTCTATGTATTCGTCACTTAAGCTTTGGTCAAACGAGAATGAGAATTGATGAGCGTAGGCAAGCAAAAGTTTGCAAAGAGCTTCATCAACTTTCTTCATCAACGAGAACAAAAGTTGCGTAAAGATCGAGCTAGTTGATGAGAGTTGACCGGATATTACCAGTCAAACAAGCAAAAACTCGTCAACTCACATTAAAGTTTGAACCTGCTCAATCTTGATAAGAGTTGATGACTGATGAGAGTTGGCCGGCGAACATGTACACGATATATATATATATATATGTTAAGTCGGTAAAATCCTTTCGAATATCACACCAACTATTTATAACTATACCTATTCTAAAAATCTATATTTACAACAATATTTACTGTTATTAAAAAGAATTGCTTAATTATAAATTGTTTCTAAACTGGAGGAGGTTCTCTGAGCTCACAATTTCTTCGGGAAGTAAATTCCATTCCCTAATCGTGCGAGGGAAAAAGAAAAATTTAAAAACATCTTTGGTAGTTTTGGGGACTCTATATTTATAGCTATGACTGCCACGAGTCCTGGTCTCATTATTTACCAGCAAGTAATTATTTGTTTCAACGTCTACACGATTCCGAGAGAGTTTGTACAACAATGTCAATCTAGCTTTCTTTCTTCTAACTTCTAAACTTTCCCAATTTAGATCTTCAATCATATCAGTGACCCTTGACATAGGATTGTAATTCTTGGAACAGAAATGCGCTGTTTCTCTGCACACTTTCCAAAGCCACTTTGTCCTTGTTAGTGTAAGGATCTCAGGCTGTTGATGCATATTCTAGCTTGGGTCGTACAATGGATTTGTATGCTGTTTCTCTCACTTTCTTGGGAAAATTCCGCAGATTACGTCGCATCACACCAAGAATTTTCGTTGCTTTACTTGCCACCGATGAGACATGAGTTATATTTTATAGTATACGTATCACCGATGAGTTATATTTTATAGTACGCTACATTCTTCTGTCGGCCGCCAGTTTAAAACGTTCAAAATAAAATATTTGGGGGCTTTTCGGCTCAAAATATATTATCAAAATGAAGAGAGAAGTGACACGACTCCACTGGTGTACGGCCGAAAAAGAGAAAACCAATGATACCAAAGTTATCAAGGATCAAACGTATACTGCATCTTTTATAAATTATTTGAGCGATTTGTCAACAAATAATACAATTTCGCTTGGCTTTCAAAGACAAAGGCCATAAATAGCTATAATACTGTTGTCAGTTGACATCCGTAGGTACAATTTCTCATCCGTAAGTACAATTTCTTACGCTGAATCGAACGGTGGTATTTTTATTGCGCCATTAATTAGGCAATACATACAAGGGCAAACGTACTGCGAGTGATTTGATGTCAACAATACAATTTCGCTTGATTTTCAAAGGCCATAAATCGCTAGAATACTGATGATTAGTAATACATTTGACATCCGTAAGTACAATTTCTTACGCTGAATCGAACGGTGGTATTTTTATCCTTATTGCGCCATTAAGAGGCATTTTATACAAATACAATATCATATTTCATACTGAGTACACTACAGTCTACAGACAGTTTTCACGGACTGTTGTTCGATAAATTAATTCATATTGATATGACACCAATATGCTTCTCATAAAGTAGTTATAACTTAAACTGCAATTAACTTTAACTTTAACTGAAATTGTCTTTGGCTCGTTTATATTCAGATTCAGTAAATTATGATCGTGCACGGGAATTCGACGATCCAAATTTCGAATTTTCAGAGTCGTACACCAAGGAAAACGCATTAAATAAACTAGCAAGAATGTCCAGAGTTTGACACAATGCAAAATCTATAGAAAACAGGTACAATTCGGCCAAAATTTTCACGCAATTGGGCACGGAATTGTTTGAAACATTTTGCCCACTTCACGAAAGGCCCCGCCATTTTGAAAAGGTCAAGCAGCTCATTAATATTCTATTTTGTGGCTATCGACCAACCTCGTACCCAGGGCTAGTCGCGAATTGAAGGCGGGTCGCCGCCTTCAATTCGCGACTAGCCCTGGGTACGAGGTTGGCTATCGACCTGTGCTATCGACGATCGGAGAACCATGCCGAAACCCAGCCTAGTCCCTGGCCTTCCAAGCGCGGGCGAGTTACAGGCTGTCGTGAACTTGCGGGCTGTCTGTTTCGGAAAATATCCGAACTGGGTCGCGCTGTCCCCAGTCTCCAAATAATACAGCTTTATCCCGGTCAACCTGCAAACCTTGTTGATTTCCCCCTAAAATAATGAGGCGGAAGCGAGAAGGCCAGAAACTAGGCTGGCCGAAACCTATACTCGTCTGGAGCACAGAGTGCCCCAGCGAGTAATGAGGACAATTTACAAATCTATTATCCGACGATTTACATGTATTTTGTGTCCAGCATTCGCTTATGCCTTGTTTCTCTGCTGTCGAAAATTCATTGCTGGCGAGCAACGATGCAAATCAATACAAGTTTTGAAATATTTCAGATTCGACAGTTCTTGGTCAACGAGCATGGCCAGATAAGGAAATTGGATATACGCATTGTCATTGGCCAATACCCCATCACGTGTTCGGCCGTTTCACTCCCCTCTTTATTTAAATTTCGGATCTTTCTCGGTCGCCCTTCGGAGTATCATCGTGTAACATAAATTAATGTCAAACATGAACATAAATTATTGCGCCTGCGATAAGCTAATAATATATACCGCTTTCAACATTCAAAATGGCGCCCGATGAAAATATTTACATGTAATTAAAAGGTTAGTATAAATTTACACAAATATTTCTGGCGTGCTCCCTTTAACTGGTCGCATGATTTGGCCATTATTGCTAACTTGTTTACATTATTTGACTTTTGTGACAAACAATTACGAAAAACCAGTTTTCAAATAATCTATCGTTCAAGAAATACATATAACATATTTATGTCTGTCATCTTGCGCGAGTAAACTATACTATTTCCTGACATGACGCACTATAGATCAGAGGAGCGTCGTTTGTCTGCGCCACCATTGCCTGCAAGTTCAGCCACGACTCTGGTGGAGGGAGCGATAGCTGCGGCTCACTCTAGGATAGCAGGTGCGCCTCAGTTATTGCCTACTAATGTAATTCCTTCTGGCGTAGCTGAAACGCTTCGAGTCGCTGGAAACTCGTCAGTTGGCGAAGTGAGGGCTGGTAAAGTCGCTGCCAGTTGTCGGGTGACCTCCGCTGCAACGGTAGACACTATTGATTGGACCAGTTCGGGATCGAGTTGCTGAACCGTGGTAGGAGGCACATTGGACGGCGGTATACCACTGGAATCATCTTCGGCTGCCACACTACAGTCGAACTGGACGCCAACGTCGAGTTCCTAGTGGATTGACGATGGCTGCGTTGCGCTGACGGGCCTTCGTCTGCCGTTTGAAGGGCTCGCTTCCTCGCTTGCAACTTTTTAGGTGGCATTCTAAACGAGAAAGCTTAAAGAGAGGAGTAGCATAAATTTAAAGGAGGGCAAGCGCCAAAACGGTACTACACTTCTGCTAAAAAATAGTTTCTCATTGTCTAGGAAAATATGAGAATGGATAATAATTTTCACAGCGGCTGGCCTGGCTGACAGGTTGAGTCGCCGCACCACCAGCCGTGTGTAGCCAAAAGTTAAGACAAATCCTCAATCTGAGGATATAAGACAACTCCTCAAACAAGAGGGTATAAGACGAATCCTCAACTGAGGATACAAGACAAATCCTCTATCAGAGTATATAAGACAACTCCTCAAATAAGAGGGTATAAGACGAATCCTCAAGCTGAGGATACAAGACAAATCCTCTATCAGAGGATATAAGACAACTCCTCAAACAGAGGAAATAAGACAAATCCTCCATCAGAGGATATCAAACAAATCCTCCAACAAGAGGATATAATACAAATCCTCAATCAGAGGATATAAGACAAGTCCTTGCTCAGAGGATATAAGACTACTCCTCAAAAAGCGGATATAAGACAGGTCCTCAATCAGAGGACATAGAATAGCGGAGGGTATAGGACACATATTATCAAAACCTAACAACCGTTGGAACAAACTGCTCGCTCCAAGGGAAAATACACAGTTCGCATAAACTACTCAATACTAACTTAAATAACAGACTTAACATAACCCTATCAATTATCATCTTGCCGTATTGCTCCTACGGCATGTTTTATCGCTCCGCGGTAACTCCTGTACAAGGTATATTGTCCCATGGGGTTAAAATGTACCCCGTCTGCTAAAAAGGGGGTTACGGATGGGTTGGAGAAACCTCTATGCGTCCAACAAATGGCTTGTTCTATGGGCTCGATCACTACCCGGGTGTACTGATTCAAAAGCTTGGCTCTCTCATTAAAATTAGAGCCCTTGTTTGTCGCACGTGGAGTGACTTGGCACAAAACCACGGCGCGCACGGAGTACTCCGCGACCAACGAGCGAACAAGTTCCTCGATGTCAGAACCCACTACCTCAGGTGGGGCAAGAGCTAAGTCGTTCGTCCCGATATCGAGAATGACTATATCAGGGGATATTCTAGTGATTACCCCCATATCCATCTTTCTTAGTTTTGGGACTGTTCGACCTCCCACGCCATGCATAAATATCTCGGCCGTTCCCTGCAGGTCAAAATTTTTGGCTGCTCGCTCGTCGAAACGTGCATGTAGATCACTGCGAAGTCTACGCACAAATGAATGGCCCAAAATGAGTACCTTAGGTATATCATTGCCCGTGGACGAAACAGCCATTGTATTAAAACTATAGAATTCCGGTCAGCGCTGGATATATACCAGTAAAATTAATAATAGGCTACCACTACCAACGTGACCGCAAGAAATGTTGATCGAATATACTATAAGCGTTATAAAGGAAAAACTCACCTGAATATATAGTGAAAATAGTGAAAACAATTACTTCAATCTTCACGAGAAAATCGCAATGTATACAAATTACTGCTGAAAAGATTAATGACTTGCCTCGACAGCTCACTATAAGCGACTGAACGTAAAATGTTTGAGTGTGTCTATATGACAGCACCCTGTAAATAATCTAGTTGTTCCATCAGTAAAACTATTTGCCTACAGCTAAAGTTTTATCTTTGCAAAGCAGGTTTCCTCCACACCCTTGGCAGAGTTAATTAATATGATAATAATAACAAGATGACAGACATAAAATTCCTATTCGCAAGCAAATATTCTATTTAACGAATATTCAAGCCCTCTTTTCGCTAGAACAGCTTTCATAGCTCATTCAATATTTGCCATTGAATATAATTTAATAGTAGTACGATTTAAAGCACCTTTAAACATATAAAAAACCATTTTGTATGCTATATTCTGATGGGAATCTGTTCAACAAATATATCGATTGTGAGCGTGTGTTCGCGCGAATTTAGTAAGCGGAATAAACATAAGCAATAAAAGCGCATGCGCCATTTATCTCATTTTGGATAAAATAAATTCGATTTCCCCAGAGTCGTGCCACTACCTACCCCGCGAACAGGCATACTCTGGAACGAGATTGAAACCAGGGTCTTTCTTTCGCCTCGCGCCGTTCTAAGAAAGATCCTGGGACCTAGGCTGCAAGCTGCATAGTTCGGTACTGCATGGGGCTGCTTTGCCTTCAGACAATGAAACATCTATAAATTTCTAAGGGATTTCTCTTCGCAAAGGATTCGAATAAACATTCATTTGCATATATCCTTGCGGACTTGCCGCCATAATTAATCTGATCGAATCACTCATTACTTCACGAAAGATTTGAGATTTGATAGATTTGATTTTGCAAAATGGCTATAAATCAAACCTATCGTGACGTAGGTGCACTGTAAATTTCAGGGAGTAAAAATTGCCCCAAAATATGGGGTAACATGTTTGTCCAATGAACGCCTCGATTTTTTCGGGCGATGTTTACGCCTCTTAAATGGGGTAATTTTTACACCACTCTTAAGGAGTAATTTTTACTCCATATAAAAATAGGTGTAATTTTTACACCACTCTTACGGGAGTAATTTTTACCCCATAGTTTTCTATGGGGTAAAAATTACTCCCGTGAGAGAGGTGTAAAAATTACCCCTATTTGTATAGGGGTAATTTTTGCACCTCTCTTACGGGGAGTAATTTTTACCCCATAGAAAGTAGGGGTAATTTTTTCTGCCCAAAACAACACTGCAAGGGAAGCAAATTAGCATGTGCAAATGATGCGCATGCATTACTTACACGAATCGCCTTAATACAACATAATAAACATATCACTCAAATAACAATCAATAAATGCTATATTTGAGAAATTCATAAGTGAATTGATTATTACTTAATTAAACTACATCTAATACAATATAATCATGTAGTCAAGTACATGCAGTGCAAGTAATAAACCATGCATACATGCATGCAGTATAAAAGATTTAACAATACCGGTCGCAACAATTTAAAAAGGAACCAAGATACAAATATTGAAAATTTCAAGATGTGGATTAAAACAAGGCTTTATTTCAGGTATTCATGCATAAATAAAAAAATTAAAACATTAATACCAGCTTATATCGTGTCGTGAATGGTCACCAGGCATGCTTGCCTTTCAAGCTAGAACCCGGATTCAATCCTTGGTTGGACCACTATACTTAAGAGGCTGTCTCCGTAAAAACCTCCAGGTAAGTATGGGGCTCAAAAATAGATTTCTCTCATACTCTAGTATTTTGAAGATCTATCCTTGGGAACAACTAAAATCGATGTCATTTTACTCAAATTTCCTTTAAATTATTTTTGGGGGCGATTGATGTTCGATCGACTGGTAACCAACTTGATACTCCGAATGAAGGCCAATATCGACATATTTTCAGCGCTATTTTTTAAATCAAATTCATACCTAAATTTCAAAATTTTTGCTCAGAAATATAGACTTATCCTTCTATTTTCGTGGGTGATATGACTTAGATCACTATCCTTTGGTATAAAATAGAAAACAGCGCAGTTATTGACCCTCCTGAACGGATAAAGGATATCGTCTCAAAATATGTCAACTTCGAAAGCTTATTTCAAAATCGTGGCACTTGATTGGCACATGACTTTAACTTTTCTATAAACTACTAACATTAGTCAACACAAATCGCCAATAATATCTTTCTGATCTACCATTTGACAAAAATGACAAGCGCGCAAACTTTGTAAAATTTGAAAATGTGTCGAAATCGAGCATACTTTATCGGTAAACATAATTCTTGATATTAACAAATAAAACCACCTTACACTACACTGAATAAAGCTTGATTATGTAAATATATGTCTTTCATCATTATTCTTTGGTTTTGCACTCGAATGAAATTGTTTGACTGTACAATTTGGCTTCAAGGATAGTCATTCAATGCCAGTGTGTCCAGTGTGTTCGAATTCTGCGCGCCTCAATGCCATGAGTCCTGATTGTGACATACGAACTTCGCTCTGTTCGCTTTGTTTACCTCCTGTAAATAAAATGTCTCAAAGAAATTTGAAAATTCAGAATTAGTCATACTACAGAATAATTTTCATTGGTTTGTTTACCTTAAACTGTTTTATAAAGTTTCGTTTTATAGAGTGTACGAATTAATCTCGGGGAAAACTCCTAACCGAAAGAAATGTACTCGCTGAGCGTAAACATGTCAATCAAATGACGATGAAATGTTTCGTTGCTCTCTGATTTCCCCTTCTTTGTATTGAATTAATGCCTCAATTCGGTTAGTTAATATTTAAGAGAGCTATATATGAGACAGTAAAGCACACACAATGTTGTGGGAGAAGGGTTGTTGGGGAGAAATGCTCCGAATATATACTTTCAACTGGTCAAAGTGTCGCCCCACAGACTCACAGTTACTCTACTTAATGCCCTCGGGGGTCTGGGTCCCCATATTGGGCTGTCCTCAGGGGGTCTGGGTCCCCATGTTGGACTCTAGTGTAATTAATGCCCTCCGGGGGTTTTGGTCCCCATGTTGGGCAATCCTCAGGGGGTTTGGGTCCCCATGTTGGACTCTAGTGTAATTACTGCCCTCAGGGGGTTTGGGTCCCCATGTTGGGCGGTCCTCAGGGGGTTTGGGTCCCCATGTTGGACTCTAATGCAATTAATGCCCTCAGGGGGTCTGGGTCCCCATGTTGGGCATGATATACTTCAATCTAACATTTTTAATGTATGGTACATCGATTTGTGAGTCTATGGGATGAG